TCCACTTTGACCACAACGACCCCATGCAGCGCTACAGGCTGGGGACAGAGTGGCTGGAGAGCAGCCAGGCAGAAAGGGACCTGGGAGTTTGGATTGACAGGAAGCTGAACATGAGCCAGCAGTGTGCCCAGGTGGCCAAGAAGGCCAATGGTATCCTGGCCTGGATCAGGAACAGTGTGGCCAGCAGGTTCAGGGAAGTGATTCTTCCCCTGTACTCAGCACTGGTGAGGCCACACCTGGAGTACTGTGTCCAGTTCTGGGCCTCTCAGTTCAGGAAGGATATTGAGGTGCTGGAGAAAGTCCAGAGAAGAGCAACAAGGCTGGTGAAAGGACTGGAGCACAAGTCCTATATATTAGGCTGAGGGAACTGGGGTTGTTTAACCTGGAGAAGAGGAGCTCAGGGGAGACCTCATCACTCTCTATAACTACCTGAAAGGAGATTGTAGCCAGGTGGGGGTTGGTCTCTTTTCCCAGGCAACCAGCAGTAGGACAAGAGGGCATGGTCTTAAGCTGTGCCAGAAGAGGTTTAGGTTGAATATTAGGAAAAAAAATTTTACAGAGCAATCAGACATTGGACTGGGCTGCCCAGGGAGGTGGTGGTCCCTGGAGGTTTTTAAGATGAGATTGGATGTGGCACTTAGTGCCATGGTCTAGTAACCATGGTGGTGTTGGATCAAGGGTTGGACTTGATGATCTTGGAGGTCTTTTCCAACTCGGTTGATTCTATGATTTTATGACTCCATCATTAGATTTTGTTTTCATTTCCTGACAAGGTAATGGATCTGATTTAATCAATATTGAGTATGTAATCTGGTAGGAAATTCCTGTTACTTGGTTCCAGGGGGACTGTGATTCCAGGTCCAGACAGCGTGTGTAACTGCATGCTCCTATACATACCCATACTGCCCTGGACATGCTGTTACCTGTGCAGGTACAGGCCCTGTGTGACACAGCACCCCCGGTGTGATGTGCTCCACTGCCTCCTGTGATGGCACCTAAGGGTCTTCTCCCGGCAGCATTTTTTCCTTCAAGTGCATCCCTTGAATTCTTATGCAGTGTGGACTTTCACAGCTTCTCTAGTTTTATCTACTTTTTTTACTGAGGGAAAGAGGTGTACCTGCAGGAAGGTTAAGGCCGAGTGTATTTAGACACGAGTGCAAGGGACTGACTAAGCATCCGAAATTCCCTGTGCCTCTCGCCAGACCATCAGCGCGTCCTGTGCCTTGACCTCGGGAGATGTGAGAACACAGTTTACAATTAACCTAAGCGCTGCTATATCCAATGCAAGCGGTGAGATGAGTGACACGGAGCTGTCGTGCCGGGGACAGGCAGGCGCATCTGGCACTCGGGCCGGTCGCCGACTCCCCGTCCCGTCCTGAGGCGAACTCCGGGCCTGCGCCACCGGTCCTGGGGGAGCCTGAGCGAAACCCGGCCAGGGCCGTGCCAGCCCAGTGTGCTCTCTGTCTGCGGGGCCCGGCCCGGCCCGGCCCGGCCCCTGTTCCCCGGCCGCAGCGGGCCCGTCCCTCGCCCCCCGCGGCCCAAACACGCCGCTGTCCCGGCAACGGCGGCGGCGTCACTTCCTGCGGTTCCGCCCCTCCCTCCGCCGCCGCGCTGGGCCGGGGCCGCGCTCCGCGCTCGGGCCGTTGCGGCGGAGGCGACACGTGGCCCCGCGGGCGGCATGGCCGCGGCGGCCGAGGCGGCGGGCGGCGGCAGCAGCCGCCACGAGAAGAGCCTGGGGCTGCTGACCACCAAGTTCGTGTCGCTGCTGCAGGAGGCCAAGGACGGCGTGCTGGACCTCAAAGCGGTGCGAGGGCGGGGGGGAAGCGCCCGCGGCACCGCCGGGCCCGGCCGGCGCCGCGGCCCCGCCGTGCTGCAGGGCGGGCGGCGCAGCGCGGGGGCCGGGCCGGGCCGCCCGCGACCTCCACACCGGGACCTCCACCGGCCAGTGACGGGCTGAGGGATCCCGGAGGTGGCTGACAGCCGCCGCGGTCGGCCAAAATACGCGTCCCGGCTCTTTGTCAGTAGGGTATGATGGGTACCGTGCATTAAATATAACTTATTGAGGGTGTTTTTATTCACTGTGTCCAGTTTTCGGCTCCTCAGTTCAAGAAAGAGAAGGAGCTACTGGAGAGGGTCCAGCAGAGGGCCGCAAAGATGCTGAGGGTCTGGAGCATCTCTCTTATCAGGAGAGACTGCGGCAGCTGGGGCTTTTTAGTCTGGAGAAGACTTGAGAGCAAATTCATTAATGCATACAAATATTTTAAAGGCAGGGTACCAAGAGGATGGTGTGAGACTCTTTTCAGTGGTGCCCAGAGACAGGATGAGGAGCAGTGATCATGAACTAAAACACAAGAAGCTTCACCTCAACGTGAGAAAGAACTTCACACTGAAGGTGGCAGAGCACTGCAACAGGCTGCCCAGGGAGGTCGTGGAGTGTCCTCTGGAGACATTCCAAACCTTCCTGGATTCCTGTGTAACCTGCTCTAGGCCCTTGTTGGGGGTTGGACTAGATAATCTCCAGAAGTCTCTTCCAACCCTAATGATTCTGTGGGGTTTTTTTTACTGCACTACATTGCTCTCTGCACTGACTCTGTATGGATTGCTGTTTAAACCTGTTTCTCACTCACCCCCTTGATGTTCTCTTAGCAAGAGAAAACCATGTTGAAAAACAGACCATCTCCTTGGTATTTTTTATTATATGTGTATGAAAGATGCTGAATTGGCAGGGTAGGTGGCAAATCATCATCATCACGCCTCTCTGCAGCCAGCCTGCCACCTCTGAGGCATGAGAGCATTTGGGCCGCGGCGGCTGTAACATCTTCCCAGTGATGCCAGGGGACCAGCCTGACTTGGCCAGGTGCTTGTGCTAGGAGGTCGTTCTTTTGCAGGAGGGATTGTTGTGCAGCTTACTTTATTGTCTGTCATGTGCTGAGAGATGTTCCAGGTCAGTCTGAGAAACAAAACATACTCAGTTTGTAAGACATTCGGCCAAAAAGCTTGGCCTTAAAGTGCAAAAGAGGATTGATTTGAACAATGAAGTTGGGCTGAAGCAGGATGGAATAGTGTTTCTGGTTCTCTCTAGTGAGAAAGGTACCTACTCAGAGGGAATGGGTTGGTGGCGCTGCAACCAGTTACAGACATTTCTGCTCAAGGCCCACTGGAGACTGGTTTCTGAATTTGCTTTGTTGGAAGTAAATACGAACTACAGTGCATAAACCGTTGGTACTTCCATAAACAGTGAGTCAGAACATACATTTCTGTAAGTGGTTTTCTCATAAATAAGCTGCATATCTAAGGAAAAATGAAAAGCAGGAGGCATGTGTGTGTTATGTCAGTGTGCTCAGGAACTGAAGAACAACAGGCCAGTCTTGAAATGGAACAGAGTGTTCCAAGAAACGATTTGTGCAGTGAACACCCTCAGGTGTCTCTCTGCTGATGGGTACTGACCATCTGATGTGCTGCAGGTTAGTATTTTCTGTAGCAAAACCAGCACTGGGAAGAAAATGTAATTTGGAAACAAATGTGTTTCCAGCTTTGTGATTTAGCAATTGAGAAGGAAAATCTGTTTCTGGGACATTTTGTGGTGATCTTTGAATACATCTATAAATATAGCTTACTGGTCTGGAAGAGGACACTTTGGAAATGTTTTAGTGCTGGACACTTCTCTGGTAACATCTGACAAATTGTGGGAGTGAAAGTGAGAATTTACCTGAAGTTTGAATTTTACAGTGTTTACTTTAAAATCGAACAGCTATTCTAGAATAATGATGTGACTGTCACTGAATAACCCTGTATAAAAAATCTAGTTATGGGATTAAACTTAAAACATTAAGCGATGAGATAGAAAAGAAAGAAAACAAAGTTCCTATCTGCAACAACGCATGTATTGCAGGGAAGAGAGAAAAAGAGCAACATGAGTGAATAAGGGATAAACCACCTGAAATGAAGCCCAAAAAATCATGTATTCTTTCAGTTCATAGCATACAGTTGCTTCTGCCTTGGTTTCTTAAATGGGCTTTGTTTCTGGCAGAATGCCATCCCTACTATAATGATGGTTAAGTAGTGTTCCTGATCATCAGTGCAAAAACATCAGGTATTCTAAGATGAACTTCTTTTTAGAAGTGTATCGATCAGGTGCAAATAACAACTTCCTTACACTTGCCCTACTCCACAGAAGAAAAATAGCCCGTCCATTAGATTTTACATTCCGTCAGTCTTTATGAATGCGATGATATTCAGTACTTATACTTACAGGTTGACAAGAACACCATCCAATTTAAAACTCCTACCAAACTGTTGTTAGCCTTCTTGGGGAGAAAATGTCATCTGCTAGTGGCACAGTGCAGAAGATGCAGGACCTCTTTCCTTTGACACTTGGCGAGCAAGCAGTCATTGCTGCCTAGTACTTTGTTAAGCTTCTTAATAATCACTCTGCCACGGTGTTCTATCGAATTCTTCTGCTCTTCAGATGTTAACACAGCAAATTTGCAGCTGATGATTCATGGTGCCTTTTGTCAGTTCTCAGGGAGCAAAGTTGTGTGAGGGCACAGACTCTCAGTTGCCTTTTTTCTGGCTGGTGGTTTTATTTCTGGGCACGGTTTTGTGTGTCTCTGTGCATGCCTGCAGCTGAAACTGTGCTGAGCAGTGTGTTTTCTGTATTCCAGGAGTTGCACAACCTGAATGCACACAGCACTGAAGGCCAGTGCTTATACGTTTTTCTTCTAGCTCTGTGAGACACTCATAGAGTGTTTGTCTTGAATACATATGTAGTCAAAGTATGAGGAGATACTAGGAGAAATTACTAGAGTTCAGCAGTTTTACATTAGGAAGATTTTATGAAGGAACTCCAAATACAAATGATTCAGAGGAAGGAATGTGGAAGCTACATCCGGCCATGTTAGCAGGGCTGTTGTAGATGTCCCTTTCTTTACATAGGGTGAGAAATGATGTGTTTTAACAGTATTTTTGACAACAGGAGATTTGTCTCTTAATAATTGAAGTCACTAGTGGGTGGTTTGTGTGGAAGACTGACCCATGTACCTACCAGAAGGTGTCGGACTGATAACTGCTAGAATGTCAAAGAGGAACTTTTCAGTTCTTTTTAGAATATCTGTGAAACAGCCCGTTACATTTTTAGAAGATCATTAGATTACAAGATGAGCACCAGAAAGGTAGTGAATGGCTGGATTAAACCTCCCAGTTTGGGAACTGGCCCCAGCTTCTTTGTTGGAATTCTTGTTTTAAGTAGTTGAACTTTGTAGCAGTGATTGAATTATATACAGGGCTAGTCACACCAAATACATATTTAACTGTGTCCTTCATTTTCCTATGAAATAAACCCCTGTCCTGGGGTTCCGGAGCTTGGTTTGCAGCAGTGGTAAATTTCTGCTCCTGGTGTTAATGGAGCTGTGCTTTGGGCATACAAAATGCAATAACATTTAGAGTAGAACAGTTACTCCAACTTTGAAACATCTGGAATTGGGTACTCAAAATTAGTGACTTTTATTTAAAGTCTTAAGCTTTGGTATCATAGCTACAAATTTATGTACATTGGTATTTTTTACTACCAGCACATCTTGAAAATACATTAAGATTAATAAAGCATTTACATTTTGTAGACAGGCCTTTGAGAAAATTTCAAGAGGCAATTAAATTTGCAGAGCAGTTTTTTCATTGTTCAAACTAGGAGCGGTAGACTAAGTTCTCGGTCAATATGTAGAGCAATGGGAAGAGAGCAGAAAGTTGAATAGCAGCTGTTTAAGTGTATGTTGTCCATTCGTTGCACTGAATAATGTAAACAGCTTCTAAAAATTGTGCCTCTGAAGACTGTGAGATACATGAGGTGCTGATTAAACATTGTACAGATGGCATTAGTTTTGTCACTGTCTAGATTCTTAAGGTTCTCTTGCAATCCTTGGAAGCAGTGTGTATGTATGCAGCAAAAATAGCAGGTTAAGATAGCATGTGCATACCTGCTGATACAAGTGAGCAGGTATGTTTCTTTGGAGAGAACTGAACTGTGCGCTTTTTATGTATTTGCATGTATTCTGTTTGATAAGAAAAGATTTTAACAGACTGTTGCAGAAGACCATATGAAAGATAAATGTTGCTAAGGGTATCAGTAGAAACACTGTTTAGTGGGGTACATCACTGTCAAGGAGAAGGAGCAGTGTTTATATCTCATAGCTATAAGAGTATTTTTTTAAATCTCCATTTTTTCATTTTGTCCTTTCAATTTTACTTAAGTAGAAAAATGAAAAAAAAACGTACTACTAAGCAAATGGATTTGTGGTTGTCTCTCAAACATACATGCTTACAAAAACCATTAATTTAATAGATTGTTGGAAAAACTGAAATAAATCATTATCTTCCTATAGTGGAAATTAGTTTACCTTATGCGTTAGTTCTAATTTGGGATGCAGAAGTCTTTGCCATCTATCCTTCTCTTTATTATTCTTCTAATTTTTTTAATACATATAATCCCTTGTAATCGTTGTATCTAAGTGTCCTGAGTAGCTACAAAGTCGGACTCCTCTTTGCTTTCTCTCCTTTTAGCTAATGTTCTTTGAACTTGACCTGCCTTTCAGCATCAAAGAGCTGAGGGTGTGGAAGGCAGGAGTAGCTCAAGTTTGCTTATTTTATCTTAACTCTTTGCATCAGGTGCATAAAAGTCACCATGGAGAGAGATAAGGCATGAAGCAGAGTTTCCTCTTCCTGGTGCTCTGCTTTGCTCTGAGACGTGAGATGTGACAGCCCCCAGACACACTGTACAGATAGCTGAGTGTCAGTGGGACATCCCTGTGAGCTGTGCTAGTGTCCTGGTGCCTGTGGAGCTGTTTGTGGTGCTCAGGGTGACACTGAGTGAGCCCTTGTACACTGTGAGGTGGATTCCTGTGAGGTGGATTCGTGTGAGGACAATGATGGCCTGAAGTACTGCAACTCTCCTTCGGCCACTTTGTGAAATTACAACCCTGTTGATTTGTATCCCAGTACTCCCGAAGCCAAACAAAAGCTTCAGTACTTTGTGCCAGCAAAAGGGATGGTAAACTTAGCATGTCCTTGGCTCGAGAGGCTTGCCCCACTGCAGGGTGTTGCTGTCTGCCTTCCCTACTTTTTCCTACCTTCACGAAAGAGCACTGCAAGCTCCTTCATGCAGTTGAACAGCACATGCTCCAGATACCGAACATGGTTTTGACAACCCATGTGAATATACCCTCCTGTCCAGGGATGGCCTGCTGGCCTTCAGCAAAGTGACTCCTCCATGTGGTTTGCAGCACTACCTGCAGGTGCTGAACTTTAGAATTAGTGGTGGAATATCTGGCTCTTGAAGAGTGGAACCTTCTTCCTTCAGAATGACATTACGTGGCATTTTTCCAAGGGAGCGGCTTAACTGTCTTTTCCTGCAGCATGCACGTTGCTGATACTTGTTCTCTTGACAGGCTGCTGATACGCTTGCTGTGAGGCAGAAGAGAAGGATCTATGATATCACCAATGTTTTGGAGGGGATTGATCTCATTGAGAAGAAGTCAAAAAACAGCATTCAGTGGAAGTAAGCCATGTCAATTCTGCAAAATTTTCATATGCTCAAGAGCAACAAAAATTGCCTCTTTCCACTTCTGACTAGATATGACACCACAAATGCTCATTTCCTTCATATTGAATGTTAGTAGATTTTAAAAATGTTGAAAATAGACTTAAGAAATTATCATTGCCTGTTTGCTTTAGATTTTTACTTGTGGTTTCATGAACCCTTTTACCTTTTTAAGAGGAGTAGGTGCTGGCTGCAATACAAAAGAAGTCATAGACAGGCTGAGGTATTTGGAAGCTGAAATTGAAGATCTAGAGCTAAAAGAGAAAGAATTGGATCAGCAGAAACTGTGGCTTCAGCAAAGTATCAAGAATGTCATGGATGATTCTACAAACCACCAATATCCTTTTAAAGTAATTGTGTGCCTCTTGGAACTAGAATTAAAGCAACAGCTAAGGTGTAGGTAATTGACAAAGCATAATATAGTCTCTTTTATCCAGAAGAAAGGTAAGGCAAATATTTTTTCAAGTTCTTCTCAAAAAAAGAAGATACAAATTTTATTTACATGGCTTTTTAAATTCTGTGACTGTGATTGGTAACATGAAAATAAGTTAGCATATATATTTGTATTTTTAAGTCTGTAGTATAATCCTGGTGTCTTACTTCAATTATATGTCCCCCATTCACTTAAGAATTGGACTCAATGATCCTTGAGGGTCCCTTCCAACTCAGAGTATTCTGTGGTAGTCTATACTGCTTTCCAGCACTTGAATTTATATCTTGTTACCACTGCTTTACATGAATCTGTTTTGTGTTGCTTTGTTCTCCTGCAAAGATTAGGCTATCACCCAAAGATAAATTGAGTTGACGTGTCCTGAAACTTGTTGGGCTTGAAACTGGGAAAAAAAATCCTGTGTTTAGATAACCCATGAACAGAGAGTTCTAGCTGCACAAGCATGTGCTTAGCTATCTTGCAAGATACTGGGCAAAACACACCTGAGACTGGGAGCAGGAAAGTGCCATTCTTATAGAAACTGTAGCACCAGTGATAAGTATTTAAATATTACGGGACTTGCTATACAGAAACTGGTTGTGTGAAATGGATTTTGTAGTAAAGGAGATTGAGGTTAGATGTTAGGAGAAACTTTGCTTTGGGAGAGCTAGCACTGGAATTGACCTCCCAGGGAGGTAGTGAATTACCCATCACTGGAGGTTTTCCAGAAGAGGGGAGGCAGACATCTGTCTGGAATGTCTGAACAGTGGATCCTACCTTGAGGCAGAGGAATGGGATGGGAGATGAACTCTGAAGTTCCCTCTAGCAGTTGTTTTATGTGATTATGGGAAGTCCTGATACATACTTGAATTCTGTAGTGTCAGTGAGATAAGTGGTGTTCTTCAAAACAAGATTTTACATGTTCTCCCTGTTAGGATCTCTTCTCAAGCAAGCTACACAACTTTTTTTCTTTTTGTATTTTCTTTGCGACTACAGGTTTTTTTTCTTTAAAAGACAGAACTCTTCTATTTTTAACTATTCATTCTGAAAGACAAAAATTATGCTTTGATTACACCTCTGAGTAACAATAGTAACTTTATAGTTTAGACTCAGTTTGGACAAACTGCTTTTAAAGGGCAACACGTACCAGTTCTACGTTGCTTCAAGAAAAATGTTCCTTGACATACATTACATTTTCATATGTCACCCATGAAGATATCTGCAACTGCTTCAATGGTAAGTTGCTGCTGTTAGGCTGTATTTCTAAAGCAAGGGATTTCCTGATCTTCCTCTTGAAAAATGACTTGCTTTTTCCTTGCAAGTATTTTGAATTTAGAAGTACTCAATACTGATGTCTCATAATGTTCATGACTACCAAGTTCCAGCATTTTCTAGTTGTAGTTACAGATTGTACTGAATAGAAGCTCAGCTGCAGTCCTGGTTTCGGATGCCTTTTTTGGTATTCATACTTTGCAGCAGCTTGCCTCAGGCCATTAATGGAACCAGAGACAGGACATGTGGCTCCAACCCACCAAATGAACCAGACAGATCCAAATTTCATACAGTTTCTCTGGTGGCAGTTGTGGTCAGAGTTCCTGATGATGCTGTATAAATGGAGGCAGACAAAGTTCAATGATGGAGCTGCTAAATCAAAAGGATTCCTGTACAGGTTTGAAGAAACTGCCAAGAATTGCTGGCAGAGGTTGCTACCCTTGACATTCTTTCCCGATCCCAGGGCACCCAAGGGAAGATTGTTGTTCAGCCTCCAGCTAGGCTTAGAACCATCTCAAGGAAGGCTGTTTTTTAATAAAAATGCAAGATTAGGAAACTACTGCAGTGTTTAACAAAAAGGAGCTGTAACTAAAAAGAATTAGCCATTACAAAACATGGAGGCACCTGGCATGGCACTCAGATAGTACTTCACCTAAGTGTCTTTTAGGAGGCAGAGAAAGAAAAGTGTTATTCCGAATCAGTTATGGACAAAGGGGAAAGGCAAGTGACCTGCAGTGTTGTGCCAGTTCTGTGGAAGTAATTGTGATCCCCTGACTTCAACCAACACATTTTAATGTGCATAGTAAGCCACAGGTGAGTTTGACAGCCAGCTCTTAATATCGCAGTTGTGCTTTGGAAGCCGTGAGCTTAGATACTTGGAAGTGTTGGCTTTGAAGATGATCATTAACACCTTTTCTTCCTTCTATTAAATCTTTGTAGTACCACCATTTGTCAAAGTCATAAAGTGAGCTAGACCAGAGAACTGATTTAGCTGAAGTAAGTCATATGAGGAGCAGCTGAGGGAGCTGGGCTTTAGCCTGGAGAAAACGAGGCTCGGGGGAGACCTTATCACTCCATATAACTACCTGAAAGGTGGGGGTCGGCCTTTTCTCCCAGGCAACAAGTGATAGGATGAGAGGATGTAGCCTCAAGCTGTATTAGGGGGGGTTCAGGTTGGACATCGGGCAGAATGTCTTCATAGTAGGGTTGTTAAGCATTGGAATAGACTGCCCAGGGATGGTAGAGTCACCATCCCTAGAAGTGTTCAAAAAATGACTGGACATGGCACTTTGTCTAGTTGACAAGAGGGTGATCAGTCACAGGTTGGACTCGATCTTGGAGGTCTTTTCCAACCTAAATGATTCTTTGATTCTGTGAAAAAATTAATTAAATATTTTCACCTTATGTTACATATAAAACTAAAAGATAAACAGGTAAAGGAAACGGTAAATCTTGTACTGCTGTGAGAAAAGGTTCTTGCAACTATGACCTAAGTATTGGAATTCTGTGATTTATATCATGCAATATACTTGGATCTTACAGGTACTATGCAAGTCTTAGCACAAGTTTATATATGCTGAATTATGTATTTTAAGTGGTCTTAGAATATTACCATCTCTCATTTGAGGGGGTACCATGCAAGACTTAGGAAAACTATGCACACTTTACACTTATTTAAAAATTGCTTTTTAACCAGGAGATACACTCCTAGCAATTCAAGCACCTTGTGGTACACAGTTAGAAGTACCTACACCTGAAATGGTATGTACTGGTTTCTTGTTTACCTAAGTGTTCTAGAGGAACAGTGGAAAAGAGCTATCTTAGAGTGGAGGATTTATCTCTGTCCATGTGCAAGAGGAGGGGGGAAATGATTAGGATTGTTTTGGTTGAGAAGGGAGAGGCCAAATGGGAAAAAGTGGGTTTTGTGCACTTATATGGTAACTGTCTTCTATTAAAACCAAGATACATTAGTGGTTTTTTTTACCATTTCTTCTTCTTTTTTTTTTAAACGTTGCAGTTTTCCAAATTGTGCATAATTGTCATGAATTCCCTTGAGAATTCATGGATAGAGGCTTTTATCTGTCAAGTTTCTCCTTTACATTGTTAAAACGGATCTTTTACAAAAAAGCCTTTTAGATTCAGTGGTAGGTTTAGTTTAGATTTAGTCTCATGGTAGTAGACTAGATAGAGAAACAGACTGCAGTCTCGCTTTAGCCAAAAGACTTAAATGGGTAAGAATTAAGTAGGAGGCCAAATTATTTACCTCTGTCCATCTTTATTTTTTTTTTGTTGTTGCAGTGCTCAGTTTTAAATAGTGTTTACATAGTTGGGAGAGATCATTGTATGAAGCATGATAGCCACTGTGCTTGTAGAAGGCTGAAATTCACCTGAGAAGTTTCACAAGCTATTTTTAGTGAGGCTAAGCACAGTCTAATATCGTAAAAGCATGCCAAGCTAGAGCCATGAAGCTGATCAGTGGTACTATCTTTGTCCGTCTCTGCTGAAATCAGTTCAGGCAATGGTAAGATTCTCTGCAGGACCCAAGTTAGCAGCTGTGATGTTGGGCTTTATTTTTTTTTTTTTGGCAAGGACCAAAACAGCTGAACTTAGTCTCCATCACCTTGTACAGTGTCGAGTTCTCAAGGAACAGTAACTTTCATAATACACCACCTTTACAGGGACAGAATGGACAGAAGAAATACCAGATCAATCTTAAAAGTAGTTCAGGACCTATCCATGTGCTGCTTATAAATAAAGAATCAAGCTCCTCCAAGCCCACAGTGTTTCCAGTTCCTCCGCCCGATGACCTTGCACAGCCCTCATCTCAACCTGCAGCTCCAGCGACTCCACTTAAACCCACTACAGCTCCCCCAAATCCACCAGAACATGACCTGAACCAAGGACGAGAGTTACCACAAACACCAGCTGCGGACACACGATCAGGTGGATCCAGGGTTTTTCCTACCTCCAACGGGGTGGGGAGGAAGGCAGCTAGAGGGAAAGAAGAAACTGTTAGGAAAGGTGATAGACAAAGGAAAGTTCAAGAATTTGCACAGCATAGCAGCTGTCTGTTGACAAACTTCTCCAAGGGCTTACTAACAGCTCTCAGGAGGTTACAGAGGCCCCTCTTCTTCTTCTGTCCGGTGAAACACATTCTTCCCTCGTAGCTTATCATCTTATACTGAACAGGTTTTGGATGTAATCCTGTTGCTTATTCTGAGGTCCTTCTCCAGAATGCAGTATGGAGCAAAATTGCAAACCTCTGATGGAGGATATTATTTGAAACATGTACCTTTTAATGAGACTGATAATACAGGCATCAGTTCCAGCTTTTGTGCCACAATGTCACTTACCTTCTTCCACACAGAGTGAGAGACTGTCTGAATATCAGGTATTTTTTTCATAGTAATGGTAGGGTAATAGGAAAAGATGTAAGAAAATGTTGTGAGTGGTACAACTGCATTTCTGAGGGTCCCGATTAACCTTTATTAACCTTTAATTAATTAACTAATTAAGTTGTGCCTGTGCCTGTGGAAGGGGGAGACTCCTCGCACCTGATCCCAGACACTGGCCATGTTCCCAAAGACAAAACTGGGTGCAGATGCTTTGTGTTCCATGTCTCCATAACATGCCTTTCTGTCCGCAGATGGCAGCGTGCAGCGCGACAGCGCGGCCCCTGCAGCCCCCTACTCCAACCTTCCGGAGCTGGCGCTGTACCCCAGCCTTTCAGGAGACGGTGCCCAAGCCTCAGCCATCTCCAGTGACTACCAGGGCTTGCTGCCTCTGGACGTCAACTGTATTCTCAAGCCAAACTCATTTGACATTGCAAAGATGGAGGAGCCCACAGGTAGGGAGCAGTAGTTCCTGTTTGAATGTTTATACTGGTTTTCTGAGCCCTTCTTTGCGACCAAGTTACCAATGAGTTACAGGCAAAATGACAGGCCTCTGTTTATCTCCTGGTGAAGCCACTGAACCAGCTCTCAGTAGCAAACTCATTTTGAGCAAATGAGTTTCTCTGCCACCAAGTAAGCTTCATGTTGTATATGGCTCTAGGGTTATAAGAGATCAGTGGAAGAAGTGTAGTGTGTGGGGGGGGAACTGAGGGATGGCATGCTATGTCTGCAGCTCCTACACTGCATGAGCCACACTGTTCTTTGCAGTTCAGTATTTTAATGCAGATAGTATGTGTTGACTTCTATAAACACGTATTAAAAACCCCCTACATATATAAAGCATGTGCTCCTGTCTTTCACAGGAAATATCAGTGGGGATATTATTGATGAACTCATGTCTTCTGACGGTAAGTATTTAGCATCTTTTCTAATAATCACAAGTAGTAGCATGGGTTTTGTGTGAACGGCACTTAGGAGGCATATGTTAAATCTGATGACAAGACTCAGTATGAAACTGCTTCTTTTCCCTGTATTGCGTCCTCTGTCATTCTTGTCTTTGCTCCCCTTTCTATTCCCTGCAACAGTTTAACCGTCAAAATATGAAAACCTTAATCCAACAAGCACTTACATGCATGAATAACCCACCAGTCCTTAATTCAGGGACAAAGAAAGAACAGGCTGATGACTAGTGTGCTGCCTTAAAAAAAAAATCTGGTTTAATTCTTTTCTGCCTCAGGCTTCCTGCAGGTGCTTTAAATAAATATTTCAGAACATAGTTACATGCCTGTGTGCAGAGTGATACATGGCTTGCTGCGGTACACTGATAGAACAAACATTACCCATTTCTGCTGTTGCACCTCAGTGGCCATAAGAGTGCAGCACTGAACCACAGCTGCTAAGTTCATGTGCTCCTGCCTCTCTGCTCAGTCTCTCTGAGGTGCCAGGCCAAGAGGTGAGCTCAGCTGGTGGTGTTCCTTTTGCCCTGTGCTCTGTAAGCAGCCTGTGCTAATATCTGCCCTCCAAGCAGACAACCTCAGGCTCCTGCAGAAAGAGATGTGTAATTATAAGATATGAGGTACAAGATGGGATTCTGTGAATGTGCCAATATATGGTCAAAATGGAAACAGTCTCCGCTTCTAGGGCAGGTACAGCATGCCCAGCTCATCTACACGATGTTAGAGTTCCTACGGTGCCGCATGAGGGCTGAGGCTTCTCTTCTTGCATTCCCGCCACAAAGACAGCTTCAAGTCCATGCTTGAAATGCAGTGCACAGAAAAACTGCTAGCCTTCATTTCCCCTCTGTAAAATAGGGATAATAGTAACTTCCTGACTTATTTGAAGGCAGATATATGCAATATTGTAACAAGAAAAAGGAATATAAATTATAGCTTTCTCATGAAAGTTTTCAAAAGCTGCTCAGGAGCTCTTTTGCTGCAGGAGAAATTAAACCCATATTCCACAGCTGTCGCTCCATTCCAGCAAACTCAGTTAAAATACCAAGCAAAAAATGGTAGATAGGTCACTTACTGCCTTAGTTTGAATGCAGTACAGATATTCACAGTATGCATCCTAGCGTGCTTTTCAGATTATCAAGACTATTTTAATTATGAAGACTAACCTTTGTACTGGTGATGACAAACATACTGAATGATGAGATAGGGCTGATATTCCAAAAGTGTTTTAATTGAAACTAAACTATTCCTGCTTTACAGTTTTTCCTCTCTTACGACTCTCTCCTACTCCCGGAGATGACTACAACTTTAACCTGGATGATAATGAAGGAGTCTGTGATCTCTTTGATGTGCAGATACTAAATTATTAGATATTGTGTCAACCAGACTACTTATCTACCTCTAACTATAACATTCTAGACTTCTTCATAACCTAAGTATTTGAATAATGAATGTATAACTTCTTAGTTCACTGACTCTGGGAGTATATTTCCTTTTGCTTCCTTTAACTACTTCACAAAACAAATTCAAGAACAAGAAAAAAGGGCTCCTATCAAAAATTCTGGCACTTTTTCACCCAAGTGTTCTCTGTGTAATCCAATTATTTGAAGCTTTCTTTAGTAAGAAAAGCAAAAATACTTTTTAGCCTTTGATCATTTTCTAAAAAATGATTAGGCTTCTTGCTCACAGTTAAACAGCGTTTTCTTTGAAGCTTTACTGCCAAGAAGCTTTGTATATTCTTTTTTAACCTTTCAAACAATTTTGAAGCTTTCACTGCCAAGTTGAAAAGTGAAGGGTATCAACTTGAGTTATGCTAAATTGTTTCAGTGAACCAATTTTGTGAAGTGCCTTCTGTTTTAGCACTTTAAGTTTCTCACACTGACTTCTGACATTCCACTTTCCTAGATGACAGGAAAGGTCTGTTTGTAGTTTGTATTAAAGTGTGCCAATACTTGTATATTAACAAGATTTTTTTTTAATAAAATTCTTCAAACAAACCCATCAGTGTTTGTGATCTTTCATTTCTTGCAATCCCTTCATTGTCCATTTTACATTACAACTGAGATAATAGGTTTGTAGCAGCATCCACATTTGCTGGTTCCTCTTCCAGATTTGTGGAAACCTGAAAAAAAAAGTTTCAGTTTAAAGTAGAAAGCAATTTCTTTTTACTCTGCTTGAAAAAAAACCAAACTAATAAATACCCACTGTCTAGAAGATTAGTTTGTCTTTTATATATTTAATTTAGGCTAATTTTGCAGTCATACTTCAATAATTTGGGGGGATTACAGGATTCACTAAACTTAACAGATAAGATGACAATGCTTTATGCAGGAGAAATACAAAGTGTCATGCCAATAACAACATACATGGCACAGAGACAGGCTCACCTTTTAGTTCAGAACTGCTCTTGACATTTTTACAACTTTGGAGAAAATACTATTACAGCCTGGGTCATCAAACTAGGCATTGTCATGTACAGCCCTACTAGCACAGGAGCAGCAGCGACGTCTGAATTCTTGGAGGAATAAACAGCAAGCCAGCAGGGACAGGGCCACTGGCACCAACTGCCTTGAAATCCTTGCTCAGCCTCATCCTGTACTGACAGCACTGTCACTCATTTTTCCCTCAGCCTCTTAACGTATTTGACACTTGTTTCGTCACTGACAGCCATACAGAAATCTGATCACCTCAGGCACAGGAAGTAATACTGAACTCATGTCCACATCTCCAAATAGCTCCTCCTTCTGACAGCCAGCATGGATTCATCTGTACCTCATCCTGGCCTGCTGCTTTCTCTCTCCCCAAAACTGCCCAGAGCATCAGAAGGAGTCAGCATAAAGAGTTTATATGGAGGAACTTGTCAGGAATTAAACTCTGTAAATTAATTCTTGTGTAAGATTGCATGTAGCCCTGTATAAAAAACTAAACAAAGGAAGGCAAGTGAAACACTGTCTTGAACCCTAAGCACTGCAGGCAAAACCTCTAGTACAGAAATTGTTGGTTTAGGTGTTGGTACTTCTGATGAGGGAACATGAAGGCCTAGGCATCAGGAACAGAGAGAGACAGAGCTGTCTGTTCCAAAGCCCTGTCCGGTGCTTCAGGTTGGGAACATCCAGGTTCATCCTCTCAATGTCTATTCATGGGGAGACATAAGTCTCAAATCAAAGAGCTGGGACTAACTTTAAAAAAATAATTTAAAACCAGCTGGAATAATTTAAAACTATGTTTTGGAAGCGTGCTTCAGCTTGGCTGCCCACCCTCTTCTCTCTCTAGTAGTTATATAGCATTTGAACATGCTAACCAGGTTTCAGCATTACCACACAAATGAAATTAATAAAACTGGGTTTATAGCTTTAAAGCAATTGCATGAATTGCCTCCAGTCTTAGAGCCAGAATATAATGCTTTAAAAACACACATATTCCTTTTGGTCTCCTCAGATTTTTACAAAGGGAAATTACCTGTTGAGTCTTCTGAGGTTCTGCTGAGGTGCCTTTCGATAGCTGCTGCACTTCTTTCTGAACTTCAGCAAATGCTTTATTTATTGCACTAACTTTTTCAGCATTTTTAATGTTTATCTGAGAGGGAAAAAAATACACACATTGGTATTTTTAACAAAAATTCCACTGACGTGAAATTGCACCATTTTTCTTCTTATGCAGACAGTGTTATATTTCTGTCTTCCAGTATTGCTCTTCAGTATGTGTATCTGTTACTTAATTAGGCCACCTAGTCTTGTACTAATAAATTTAAAAGGGAGAAAGTAGTTAAACTTATTCTATTGGAATGGGAGCCCACAATGATCCAGAAACAGAACACAGAGAAAACAAAAGCCAGGCTGTAGACAGGCCCTGCTATATTATATATAAATTGTCTTTGCTGCTCTTTCCTCCTCAGTGGGAGGACTCCTCACACTCTGCCCTTGGTCCAACGTGAGGTCCCTCCTATGGGAGACAGTCCTTCATGCCCTTGTCCAGAGTGAGTCCTTCCCACAAGCTCCAGTTCTTCACAAACTGCTCCACCATAGGTCCCCTGTGGAGTCCCAAGTCCTGCCAGGAGCCTGCTCCAGCATGGGCTCCTCTCTCCATGGGCCCACAGGTCCTGCTAGGAGCCTGCGACTTCCCACAGGGTCACAGCCTTCTTCAGGCACCCACCTGCTCCAGCATGGGGGCTGCAAATGGATCTCTGCTCCACCATGGACCTCCATGGGCTGCAGGGGCACACCATGGTCTTCCCCACAGGCTGCAGGGGAATCTCTGCTCTGACACCTAAAGCACCTCCTCCCACCCCTTCTTCACTGACCTTGATGTCTGCAGAGCTGTTTCTCTTACAAATTCTCACTCCCCTGTTCTGATTGCTGCTGGTGTTGCACAGGTGTCCCCGCCATTTCTTAACTACATTATCCCACAGGCACTGCCAGTCCCTGCTGGGCTCGGCCTTGGCCAGCGGTGGGTCCATCCTGGAGCCGACTGGCATTGGCTCTGTCAGACACAGGGGAAGGTTCTGGCAGCTCCTCACAGAAATCACCCCTGTAGCCCTCAAACCCAATACAATTTGCAAATGATTTTATCATTTTGAATTTCTTCCAGTAGTTTGCCTTTCAACATCACACCTTGCATCCTACTTGTTGGTCTGGCCAACGCCTACCAGATTTTGCCACATTTTTTTAAAGAAACTCTATGGCTGTAGCAGACCAGGATGTGTATCTCTGGGCATCTCAGCCTCACTTTTAGCCTAAGTCTACCTTATAAGTTATTTAATCAAAGATGCTTGCTTTTAAAGGGGAAGAGCTAAAATATGGACATGTGCTATGCTTTGGAGGCAATTATCCATGGTAGAGGAGCAAGGTGGATGCAAGGGGGCATAAACTCTTTCACCACTGCAGCTGGTCTCACCCCTAGCACCTGTTTCTTTCAATGTCTGGAATGGGATCATAGCCAGATAATGGCCTTTTACATTGCAAATGTTCCAGAAGCACACTCATAAGTTTTCAGGCAACCCCAAATTTCAGGATACCTACTGTTGCTAAAGGCTAACCCTGTAATTCACCTCTCAGCATTTTACACAGGCAGAAGCAAACCATGCATACTTATTTTGCTTTCAAAGCCTCCATAACTTCAGAGCATGCTTACATTAACAATAATTCCATTTATTCTGAGTGACCAAGAGAACCAGTATTAAGAAAGCAGTGGCAAGAAGCTGATAAAACAGGCCTACTCAGATTGGCACTTTAATCCATAATAACTTGGACAGTGGCTGTAGAAATATGGACCCAGCTCCAATCGACAAAGATCTTGGGCTTCCCATCAAGGCTTGTCACCATCTTCCAGCTTCACAGGGGTGTTAAAAGGATCCAGTCAGTTTCAATACCTAATTTCTCAGCTGCTCAGGCAGGACTCCTCCATAGAAAGAGGCTCTATAGCTGGCATAGGTATCTACATCAAAAGTTGTCTGAATAGTTATAATGGGATTTTAGCTATTAAAGAATAAATGTATTTTAACAATTTTTTTTCCGAGCGTCTTCCTATACTGCTTAATAATAAGTAAATCCTATTAAGCCCAAAGGCTTCATGCATTAAAGAATACAGCTTCAAACACAGAGAATAAAATTTTACTCCTAATAAGCTCCTGACTTTTCATGAATATGGTTTTAAACCTGTTTCTCCCTTTGTTATACAGAACACTCTAGACTAAGAGGAGATGCGACGCCAACAACATTAAATTGTTATTTCCAAAGTTTGTTAAATTCCTGTCTGTTCACCAGATTAATTTGTCAAGTGGCTTTGGCTCGCAGGAGGAAATCAGAAACAGCCTTTTCTTAAGGGCTGTTTAGCTCCGTTTGTCCAGCAGACTGCAACTGCATCGAACAGGAACATTAAGCCACTAAACGTTCTGCTTTTATTACTTTTATTATCTGATGCCTTCCTACAGGGACAGCTGAACTCTCAGAACACACACCTCAGGCTGGAGGCAGGGTTTGAGGAGAAGATACCATATAATGACTCACTGCTACCAATAGGAAAACTCTTTTTTAGATCATCCCCCCATTCCCTCTTCCCCTGCATCGCTCCCAGCTCTGCGACCCACTCTCTCCCTCCTCTGGGCTGTGCTCCTCTCCAGACATGAAAATGACAGAATAATATTTTTGCTTCTTTACTTTTTCATTGCTTTAGTGTGTTAACTCACAGAAGCATCTGCAGAGCATCTGCAGCCCACCTAAGCTGCAAGAAGAAGTCAAAGAGGAATTAAGAGCAAAACATACAACACTCTGTGTTCCTAGATCTGTTCACTGCATCTCACTGACACGGTTTTACTTGACAGCTGAGGCAAATAAACAGCTACTGGATCAGAAGAAGCTCCATCCTTTCTAGTTCTCCCCCACCAAAATGTTTCTCTTTGCACTCATTCATAAATAAGCTTGTTCAACTCACCAACCCAGCCCATAAAAATCCAAACTGCATTTTTAATTGCTTTTGCTGCTGATTTAGCAAGCTGAATCACCTAGCAGGTGATGAGTTTCCGAGCTAGCATCAAGGAGAGCTGTGGAAACAGAGCCCAGAGCCTGGGGCTGGGCTTGGGAACATGATGGAAAGGAGCAGGACGTGCTGCTAATACGGCCCAGTGAACGTGAACTCACTGAACTGCTGATGCTCCCTTTAGCATCGCATTCTCTAGGACACGCCGAGATGCCATCAGACATTTCCCAAATAACACCTGTCAGGAAGAACCACTTGAAATCTCTGGCAGATGCTGCAGATCAGTCAGATAAACTCCCTGCTCTTCTTTTTTTGCAGATTATGACATCCACATATAAACATGACTTAGGGTGAAAACCGTGCGCTTTGCCACTCTGCCCGGACGCACACTGTCCCTAAAGCAGCTCGATTTAATCAGTCCCGATTTAATCAGTCCCGAGAACTTTCCCCGCCCCGCAGCGAGGCCTAAGAGGAGCAAATCCCGCGGGGCCGAGGCCTCCCGCACCGGGACTGGGCCCTCCCC